AGTTTGTTGGTTGTTGGATGTTTGAACTTATTTGATGTTTTATGGATTTTGAACTTAATATATATATATTTGGTTTGGTTGAATTTTCTTATTTTTGCATCATTAGACATATATGACCAATAATTCCATTTCACATTTGATTATGAATATTGATTATGAAACTAATGGCTAACCTCTCTCTTGATCTTTGATCTTAGCAGCTTAAGCTATATATATTTATAATCATTTGGCTGTGCTTTTCAAAACCTTGTTTAAAACATTTTAAAGTCCTTTTGATTTAACAAAAAGGGGGAGAAATATTAAGTGTTAAAGGGGAGAAGTGTTAGAGTAAGGGGGAGTGATTTCAAATTTGATTTTGATTTCAAATTTTATTTTCAAAGAAAATCTTAAAAATACTCAAATGTTTTGTTATATCAAAAAGGGGAGATTGTTGAAAACATTTTGATGTTTTAATCGAATATCAAAATTATTTCCAGTCTTTCAGATCAATTTCAAAACCTTACTAAATGTGTAAAATTGTGTTTTATACTTAATATATTTTGAAACAATTTTCACAAAGTATTTTGAACCAAAATCAAGCCTAAAATCAATTTTTCAAAGTGATGCACCGATGCACCATGGAATAAATTGAACATCGAATGCATTTCATGCATCGATGCACATACCATGTATCGATGCACTCAGGGTTTTATGAAAACATCGAATGCATTTGATGCATTGATAAATCAGTCATGCATCGATGCACCAGCCATGCATCGATGCACTTAGGCTATTTTGAAACATCGAATGCATTTTATGCATCGATGCACTCTTAGCGCACCGATGCACTAAAGGTCCAACGGTCAAAATATTTGAATTTTACACTTGATGCACCGATGCACCATGGGTATGCATCGATGCACTGACGCTCCCAACTGAATTTATCAATTGTTTGAGAAGCATCAAACCTCAGTTTGAGCATTTCAAGCCTATTTTCATTCAATATTCATTTTGCTTTCAAGAACACTACTTGTACTCAATTGTATTCATTTTTAAGTGTTATTTTCTTTGTTCTAGAATTGTGCAAACAATCTACCTTGTGAGGATTTTGTAAGTTTGCAAATTTGTAATCTTCTCTTTGAGAAAGAGTGTTCTCAAGAATTTGGGTTATATTCTTGAGGGAGTTGTAAGGTATCTCTTTGGCCTCAAAAGAAAAGAACAAATTAGTGGATTTGTTGGAAAATCTTTAGTGTGGATAGCTAAGGTAGTGGACGAAGACTTTGGTTGAGAAAGTCGAACCACTCTAAATCGCCGTGCAAATCTTTTCAATTTTCTGCAAAAACTTCACCCAAAATTTTAATTGCCAATTCACCCCCTCTTGGCCGATTCCATCAATCGATTAACTCAACAACATGTCCAACTCACACTTGCATTATGACCCACTAGGGTTTACCACTATCATCTCACTCGAGATTAATTTGAATATAATACTTTTATTTTTAAACTCTTTCATTTCCTTCTTGCGGAAATCCGTGTAACTTTTCCAGATCCATTTAAAATATTCTCGAGCAATTAAAACATTTTCTCTCTCAACTATGAAAGTCTAATTATCCACATCATTTAATAAGAAGACTTGACAACTTTGTAGCAATAACTTCATAGCAGTTAATGCTAAAATTATACTAGTAAAGAAATTTACTCTTTTTCCTATCATTACGAACTTGACAATTTTCCAAGTTCTCGAGAATTAATCTTGATTTTAAATAATAATTTATTAAAGTATGAAATGGGTAGAAAATCATTTTCACAAATTACCTTCTACAAATAACTCTATTAGGTCCATAAAACTTAACATTTATTCTTAACAAACTAATAATCAGTTGATCCACTAATATCTACTCTTTCTATAAGCTTTTAATAGTTAATGTATTTACCGCTTACTCATTTCATCTTACTCAAATTAACAATACTTTAAACAATTTAATGTTTCACTTAAGTACTCAGCAATTATTTAAGCTTACATGAAGAAACCTCGGAATCATCTCTATATTCAAAAATCTCATCTAGATCCTCATCTGATTCTACTTCTCTTGGGTCGATTTTGATCTCGACCTTCTTTTCCATATCATATACTTTCTTATCTTTGTCCTTAGTTTCTGACATCTATTAGTTCATACATAATAATAACACTCAAGTTAATAAGGGGTGACATCAATCACACTCTAATTGACACCATATCAGTAACTTTGACAATCTTAATGACATATAATTTTTTTCTCAAATCAATTAAACTTGGTTTCGGCCGAGAATCGACTAAATCTGTAGCACTGATACCAATAACTGTAACACCCATTTTCCGTATACGTTTCCGTACACAAGTTATAGGTGTCACATGACTTTTAAAAACATTCACGCATTTGTTAAACCCATAAAATTTTGTTTGAAATTTTAAAAGCCAAAAACATTTTAATACAACAATAAAATAGGCGTTGAAACCTATTGCCAGAGTTATCACTTTGAATACATTCTAGAGAAATTTTTCTTAATTTTGATTACATGCCAGTAATTTTTTTTCAAAATAAACCTTATTGTCCTACTGTTACTGATGAGTGTCAACCTTAGATTGATGATAGCTACTACTGCTCCCGATACCTAACTAGTCTTTATTGTTACCTACACGTGAAATCAACACACGTTAAGTATATACATAGTGAGACATAATATTGTAAATAACATTAATGTATACATAAGTATATTTTTGATTATTTAGTTTTGAACTAATTTGTATCATCCATTAGGATTAGATAAGTCCCTATTATTTAAATCAAATTTCTTTCATACTATCATCATAAGCATTCTTGGTATTCCTATACCAGTATTATTTAGTAATTATTCATTATTTTCATTTAGGGCATCCTTTCATGCCTTTAATGCACCGTTATGCATTTCATTTATGACATCATTTCAAGCCTTTAATGCAATGTTATATATTTCATTTATGACATCCTTTCATGCCTTTAATGTGCCATTATGCATTTCAATTATGGCATCATTTCATGCCTTTAATGCACAGTTATGTGTTTCATTTATGGCATCCTTTCATGCCTTTAATGCACCGTTATGCATTTCATTTATGGCGTCCTTTCATGACATTAATGCACCGTTATGCATTTCATTTATGGAATCCTTTTATGCCTTTAATGCTCCGTTATGCATTTCATTTATGGCATCATTTCATGCCTTTAATGCACAGTTATGCATTTCATGCCTTTAATGCACAGTTATGCATTTCATTTATGGCATCCTTTCATGCCTTTAATGAACTGTTATGCATTTCATTTATGGCATCCTTTCATGCCTTTAATGCACCATTATGAATTTCATTTATGGCATCCTTTCATGCCTTTAATGCACCATTATGCATTTCATTTATGGCATCCTTTCATGCCTTTAATGCACCATTATGCATTTCATTTATGGCATCCTTTCATGCCTTTAATGCTCCGTTATACATTTCATTTATGGCATCCTTTAATGCCATTATGGTGCGTTTGGTTCACGGAATGTAAGATTACCAGTGGGAATAAAAGATTACCAGGGAATAGGATTACTGGGAATGTTGTATTTTGTGTTTGGTTGGTTTAGCAGGAATGTAAGATTACCGTGTTTGGTTAAATGAATAAAATATTATTGGAATGTATATTTGACCAAATTGTCCTTATTATATATATGTATAATATTAAAAATTATAAAATATTTATATATTTTCTTTAAAAATTAAATTCATAATATTTATATAAATTTTTTTACAAAATAAAAAATATAAAAAGGTTTAATGAAAGGGTAAAAAAATTTTAACCCCTGAATTTCATATAAAATTTTAATTATAGACTTTTTTTTGTAAATCTAAAATAATTTAAGGATAAATTTGTAATTTAACTTTCGTAGAATTTTTATTATTCAATGACAGAAGAAGGATGTTTTTGAAAAAAAAATAATTTAAGGGCCTTTTAGTCCAAAACACCGGTAATGTTACAATACCTAAGGGAAGGGAGATAATGACATTCCCGGTAATATACCCCAAAAAATCTACTATTGGTAATAAAACATTGCCGGGAATGAGATTCCCGGCCAACCAAACATGGGAATGTGAGATTTCCATCCCATGGGAATCCCACATTCCTTGAACCAAACACCCCCTTAATGCATCGTTATGCATTTCATTTATGGCATCCTTTCATGCCTTTAATGCGTCATTATGCATTTCATTTATGGAATCCTTTCATACCTTTAATGATCCGTTATGCATTTCATTTATAGCATCCTTTCATGCCTTTAATGCACAGTTATGTATTTCATTTATGGCATCCTTTTATGCCTTTAATCCACCGTTATGCATTTCATTTATGGAATCCTTTCATGTCTTTAATGCACCGTTATACATTTCATTTATGGTATCCTTTCATGCCTTTAATGCACCGTTATGTATTTCATTTATGACATCCTTTCATGCCTTTAATGCACCGTTATGCATTTCATTTATGGCATCCTTTCATTCCTTTAATGTACTGTTATGCATTTCATTTATGACATCATTCATGCCTTTAACATTTATACCATTCTAAATGTTAGTATATTCCCTAACATTTATACTTTAATAATATTCACAAGTGCTATTATTTAAATTTCTATAACCATTTCAGCTTATCTTATAATTTCTGTCTCAATGGTATCGGTACTCCTACCATGGTATCGATTCTACTATATTGTGATATCGATACTGTAACCGCCCACGTTTTTGCACCATCAATGCCATATATACATACCCATATATATATATATTATATATATATATATATATATATATATATATATATATATATATATATATATACACACATATTTATACACCTTACAGTTCTTACAAACTTCCTGTCTCACATGCTATTTTTTCTAATCTAGATCTCTCTCTCCCAAAATTTCTTAAAAACAATTATTCTTACAAAGAACAAAGGAAATGTTCATGGTAAGTGACCACCAGATGTTGCAGTGTGATCCGACGGTGCCAATGTTGGCTATGGAGAGCAAGTGGAAATCCAACGTTGAAATTGCTCCCAATTGTCCGCGTTGTGCCTCTCCGAACACCAAATTCTGTTATTACAACAACTATAGTTTGTCTCAGCCTAGGTACTTCTGCAAAGGGTGCAGAAGGTATTGGACTAAAGGCGGTTCCCTAAGGAACGTACCCGTTGGCGGATGTCGGAAGAGACAAAGAGGGAAGTCCATCAGCGAAAGTGTTGAGAAAAGAGGTCAAGTTTCGATGACTTACTGTAAGGATTCAAGTAGTCCTTCTAATGAGGATTCAGGGAATCGACCCGATATAGATCTAGCCGTTGTTTTTGCCAAATTCTTGAATCAAAACTCAAGTTTTGATCAGCCTCGGGCGAATAAAGATAACAATTCATCAATGGAGTGCCGGAAACCAGATGTTCATTCAATTCAAGTGCCATATATGCTTCGAGAAATGCCGGGAACCGACGAGATCGAGGCGTTCGGGCTACAAAGTTTGTTGGAAGCCGATGTTCAAGTGGTGTTACCGGATGGTTTATGGACCGACGACCATGATGTTGCAGCAACAACACCAGACTTTGAAAGGCAAATGCAACAACTTGAGTCATTTCCAGTTGATGATCAACTAAAGGTTTCTGCAAACTTAATGAATGAAGATTGGGGTTCCTTTGATCTTTCTGGATTTGGAATTTTTTCAAAGTTCAAAGCCTTGAAGTTGAAGAAACTTTTCCATTTTTTTATAATAATCCATACATATACTTGTTTACAATATGAATTGGCTCAAGTGATGAAAAGTACATCATTTTAAGAAACATGAGTAATGCATCTTTTATTTTCAAACTCATCTGAAATCTACAATCCCTTAATCTTCTTTTTCTTTGACAATCAAAACAACAAAAGATTAAATCTCAGTATATCAGGATAACAAGACTTACAATCTCCTGATGTAATTTTAAACTACATCAAATGCATGTGATGTAAGAATAACACATGGAAGTAACGTACGAGGTTAATGTGGATGCCTTAATAATCTTAGGGGGGGGGGAACAAAAACAAAACAGGTAGTTGGAGGGATTAATGTTGATGGATGGTTGGGGGTGAGTCCACCTCAATTAATTAGAATCGGAAATATCTTTGGGAGTTGGAATTAGTTTACCTTTTTGAAGACGACCCATCACATGATGCTGTCGAATATATTAGGATGGTTAAAATATTCGAATTTAATGGGTTTTGACTCAATTTTATAGGGATAATTTCTTTTTTGAAATTTTAGGATTCCAGGCGGGATAGGTTATTTAACATATAACTTCGAGGCGGAGCGGGACGGGACGGGATTGAGTTTTTGAAACAAAAATCGATATGACATAATCAGGTATAAATTACTAATTTATCTTTTTGTATATATATGATATATTAAATATCTTAAGGAATTTTATTTTTTATATTGTTAAAATATATTTTTAATTAATAAAAATATAAAAGTTATTATATAATATATTATTTTAACCTTTAAAAAATAATAAATAAATATAAATATATTATTAAAAATATAATAATTTAATTATTTTAAAAATGAATATATTCGAATCGTATAAGGATCAGGACGGGAGAAAAATTAGAATTTATCAGGGTAGAACTGATATAAGAAATATATTTTCAGATTGAGATCCGAACGACTAAAAAATTAGCCCGCCCCGCCCCGTACACATCCCTAAAATATATTTAGAATTTGATTGTTTTACATTTAGTTATTTACATTTTAACTATATTTAAAAAATTATTATCTGATGTATTATTATAATAAGAAAAAGGTAAAAGAATGATAGTGTAATTTAGATACATTATATTCTATTGTGGGAAATGCAATTATTTTGTATATCTATATTATAATTTATTGAATATATGTCAGGATTATTATGTCTTTAATCAGTCAATTATTCTTACAGTTTATTTTAATCATTAAATTATTTATTTTATTAAAATTATACTTAAAATTATGTTTTAATCTGTTAAAAAATCAATGGGTAAGCTTTTGGGCTTCAAATGGGAAAAATCCAATAATTCAGTCCCTGTTCTCAGTCATCTTCCCCTTCACCATCTCTCACATTTTTATTTTTAGTAATTAAACTCTGAAATTCTGGATCTGAATCTCTTCCATTCTACCAGGGTTTTCGGTGAGTATACTCTTTCTACCTCTCAAATTTTTCCTTGAAGATTCATTTCTAAGTAGTTTATGCGTTGGGTTCGTCTAATTGAATCGAAATTCGTCATCTTTACTCGATAATCTTCTGAATTACCTCTTTGGGTATGCTTTATACACATAAATCTCGAAGCTTTTCAGCCGTGTTTCTGTCATGATGAACAATTATCCATTTGGGTCAAGTAGTCCAAAGTCCTTCAATGCATATTCAAAGGGCGACTTTGATATCGAATCTGGTACTGTAAAAAGAACCAAAAGGGCTAGAAATTCATGGTTTTACCCTGTTAGAATGATTAAGTCATTGGCTGACACGCTTCATTACTATTACATGTCACATCCATTCCTTGTTTTCTTTGTTTCATTGGCATTTGGGGTCACAATCCTCATAGTTTTATCTCTAAATGAGCACCACTATTGGATGCTGAAAAATTATGGGAAACTTGATGATGGATTCGGTAATTACTATCCCTATGTCAAGCTTAAGAATCTTGTAGTGGTTGCTACGCATTCGGTTTATACAAGTACTAGTTGTGGAGAAGTTGATAAAGAGGATTCTTGGTTTTTGGAGTCGTACCAGAAGAATCCGGGACAAGCTGCTACATTTTTGAGTCACATAAAGGGAGGGGTCGAAAACGCTGCACAGGATGATGCAGCTTTGCTTTTGTTTAGTGGCGGAGAGACTCGAAAGGATGCTGGCCCTTGAAGCGAGGCTCAAAGTTATTGGACGGTAGCTGAATCGGAAGGATGGTTTGGTATGTTCACTTATTCGGTTCTCCATTTTTTCTGGAATTATGCTGTTCTTGTATGCCTTGGACTCGTTAAAATGATTGCATTTCATTTATTCATGCATATTTGTTCTTCTTATGAAACATCAAGTTTATCGATTTCGAGAGTAGTTATGCGATGTTTATGCTTCGTAGATACTTGAATGTTCTCATTAGCTGTCATAAGATCGCAACCATATTAGCTCACTAGTGAGAGTTCTACTCTCTGGTCTAGTTCTATGAGCCTGCCTCTTTCGCGTCTTTATTCTAGGAAATTGTTTCTACAACATTACGGTTTTGAATCATCTGAGCCGGTCCTTGAAGCGAGGCTCAAAATTATTGGACGGTTGCTGAATCGGAAGGATGGTTTGGTATGTTCACTTATTCGGTTCTCCATTTTTCTGGTTATATGCTGTTCTTGTATGCCTTGGACTAGTTAAAATGATTGCACTTCATTTATCATGCATATTTGTTCTTCTTATGAAACATCAAGTTTATCGATTTTGAGAGTATTTATGCTACGTTTATACTTTGTATATACTTGAATGTTCTCATTAGCTGTCGTAAGATTGCAATTTTAGCTCACTAGTGAGAGTTCTACTCTCTGGTCTAGTTCTATGAGCTTGCCTCTTTCACGTTCGTCTTTATTCTAGGAAATTGTTTCTACAACATTACGGTTTTGAATCATCTAAGCATCGTTCTTATATTCAACTGATTTTCAGGGAAGGAAGAAAGTGTGAAGTGGAGGGCATTAACAGAGGAGCATGCAAGAGATAGTTTTGAAAACCTTCTCTTTAGCGTTTGCCGGTTTTGAGAGCTTACCGGGACATACCCGCAAAACATAACTGTAAGCATATCCTACTCGATCCATTCTGAATTTCGATAGTCTTTCTTACTTGTACATCTGTGTGTTTCGATAAGGTGAAAGATTAAATGGTCGAGTTCATCATCCATGCCACTATGGATGTAAGATATAAGTTCATGAACCTAATACATCATATCCTCGCATTCTGGATTGAAAACTCATCATCATCCTTTTGCATATGAATCAGGTTGTAAGTTATGATTTCAAGGAAGAGAGATTTGCAAACTTGCATCGCACCGCGATTGGCTTTCCAGAGTCGCGATTCTTTTACACGGGCACACCAGCTCCATCAACTTCGAAAGAAGCGGCTTTGAAAGGTGAGGCACTGGTGAGGGCTCAGTTCCAACAAGATCCATTCGGATGTATGGGATCGCTTAAGAAGAAGGTCGGGCGTGATCCTTTCCATCGGTCGATCCCATATCCGAGTGGATGCCCGGAAATTGAAGGTCTTTTTAGATACTGTGGGATTGTTCCGTTTGAAGGTTCGCTCCCATGGGCATAGCAAAAGACGCTTGACCACAATATAAAATTATTGGTAAATAAAAGCTCAATAACCAAATTAATCGAGAAAGAAGATGAACATAGACATTCGATTATTCATGTCTTGCCATTATTATTATGGGTAGATCATATTTAGTATCCCAACTATTACATTTATTCTGTTTTGGTCATTTAACTATTTTTTTTAAAATCATACCTATTATTAAGTTTTTGTTTCATTTAGTCATCTTTCGTTTAAAAATTAATAGAAATATTGATGTGATTTTTTTAAGTTTTTTAATGATGATTTGATATTATCTTATAGTGACACGTTAGTATTATCATTAATTTTTTATCGGTATGTGATGAAAATAAAACTTAAATATAATGTTAGGTATGATTTTAAAATAGAAAAATAGTTAAATGATTAAAATAGAATAAAAATGATAATTGGGTATTAAACGTGTTGTTTACCTTTTTATTATTTTTAATCGGGTGTTATTAATTTTTTTTTCTGCAAGAAACATGTTTGACTTTTGTAAGAAACATGTTTGGGTTTTGTAAGAAACGGGTAGTTTCAATCTTAATATAAGAAAATATTTTATCAGAAATTTTTATATTTTTGGTAAAAAAAATACTTAAAATATTATTTTTTTACCTAAAACATTAATTTTTTAACATTTTCGGTAAAATGTCTAATATTAACATTTCCGGTAGAAAAAATAATGTTTTAGGTAACTCTTTACCGGATATGTTAAACATTTCCGGTAAAGTGCCCAAGAATAACATTTTTTGTAGAAATAATAATGTTTTAGGTAATTTTTACCGGAAATGTTAAAAAAATAATAACATTTTCGGTAGTGTCTTTTTTTAGCCGTATATTAAGTTGTCGCACGTGATCAAAGCCCATTTTTAACAACTATAATTTTTGTTCCGTTTTGGTCATTTTAAAAAAAAATCACATCTAACATCTAATTTTGGTTTCATTTTAATTATTCGTTGTTAAAAAATTAACCATAATATTGAAAAGTCACTATAAAGTAATGTCATGTCATCATTGAAAAATAAAAATTTTCACGATAGTCATTCTGCTAATTTTTTAAAAGTGGGTGAGATCAAAATGAAACCAAAATATAACGTTATGTATGATTTTGAAAAAGAAAATAGTTGAATGATCAAAATAGAACAAAAATGATAGTTGAGGTACTAAACGAGTAGTTTATTTATAATTTTTGACATAATGCCAAAATTAACCCCCAACGTTTACTAAAGTGATTATTTTACCCCTATTCTATTTTTTGGAATATTTTGTCCCTCGACATTTTATTTTAAGACAAAAATATCATTAACATTTAATAGAATAATCATTTTGTCCTTTTTTTATAGGGCATTTTAGCCCTCAACATTTTATTTTATGTTAAAAAATGCTTCTAGGACCGTTAATCGTGTATTATCTAATAATTTTCATCTATAAAAGGAGTTTTTTGTCTCAAAGTGAATCGTTGGATGTCAAAATACTAAAAAAATACGAGTTAAAATGACTATCTTGATAAATGTTAAGGGTTATTTTTAACATCATATAATAACTTTTATCTTAAAAGATCATCCTATAATTGCATATTTTATCTTAAAATTATATATAATTAAAATATTTATACCAAAACAATTTGATTCATAACAACATACAAATTTAGACGAAACAAAAACTAACAATCCGCAAACGAATTATCCAAAAAAAAAAAAAAACAATCAGCAAACGGCGTTCCATTTAAAGTGACAAAGAGGCAACCCTAATGGGAATTTATTTTATGGTAAATTATAAATTTGGTAAATGAACTTTATTTTTTTCTTCTATTTCACTTACTACACTTTAAATTTGAACTTAATATATTGGGTTTTTTTTGTCATTTAGCTGTTTTCTCACTAACATCGTTATAAATAGGTTGTCGATACAAAATGACGTCGTTTTGATGGAAATTTTGTTTTTTTTAAACGGCATAGTTTTATCTCCGTTAATTATTTAACTGTAAAGTGACAAAAAATTCAATATATTAAGTTCAATGATAAAATTAAAAACTTTTAAAAATACATTGAGCAAAATAAAAAAGAGTGTAAAATTCAGATATAATTTACCCTTATTTTATTTTAAAAGTTGTAGGAATAATTCTAGCCTGTGTTCCTCAAGATGGGACAACTTGAAGCTGCCTCCTGAGCAGAGGTATCATCAATGGCGGCTCCTTTTACCAGACCCCCAAGCAGTTCTCCCCTCTCATAAAAGAACTCCACTCCACCAATTCTCATATTTTCATCCACCTATTTCACAAAAATACAATCACCACATATTTAATTAGTGGTCTGTTATCAAAATAGAAGTTGTTATGTAACGGTGATGATATCGTCCGAAATTGTTATTGTATAAGTACGATATCCATGATGAACACAATAATATTCGTTATATATATAATCGTGATAAACATAACATAACCAAAAATATTAATTTAAATATCTGATCATAAAATGTGATTAAAAATTTAAAATATACCTGGATGATGGCGATTCCGTAAAACTCTACCAATTCTCCCGTAGGAGCATGACCTTTGAAAGGACCTTCACTGTAACCCCAGTGTCTAAACTTGCAGACAATCTCAGGTGGTCCGGCATAAACCTTGACAACTTCTAAAGCAAATCCTCTTGGAAAGGCTGTAAGAAAAGCCCTGTGAGATGATTCGGCTGTTTCTTTTTCAGGATCGTAGATTCTGTGTTCTTCGGGAAGGGATGTTTGCAGCTGTGGGTTATAGCCTCCTCCAAGCTTCTTTATGTCCATCATGTTCAGATCTTTTCGACCTGAAACATAATCAACTATGTTTTAGTTCACAACAGCATCTGTAAATATTAATGTACACGGCATTTGTTCAGGTTCTGTCTGTTTTTTTTTTTTTACCATTTAAGCTAAGTGTGTATTTGTTAACGTCCAAAGATTTGAAATCATGGAGGGAAGCCTTGTGGAAAACCTCCATTTCCCATGTCTTTATAAGGTTCTGCACTTGTTCTTCTAGTGATCCAGGAGGCCATACCTTCCATTCACAAATTTAAAAAGAATTTATGTTATTCTTAACCTTTTTTTATAACCATAAGACATAAACGTATCATTTTTTATCTAATTTTTAATAGTAATATATGTTCAAAATTTGTTACTTAAACACATAACCTCAAAGAGAATAACATTTTCTTTTACCACCGAGTTTTCTAATTATCCAAAATGAGTTAATTGCATCATATGTCCTCAAACTATGATCCTCATTTCAAATTGATCCTTAAACCTTTAAACATTCCAACTTCATCCCTAATCTATGATTCTCATTCTAAATAAATTCTTAAACTTTTGAACATTCTAATTTCATCCCCAAACTATGACTCTCATTCTAAATTGGTCCCCAAACTTTTTAATCTTCCAATTTCATACCCAAATTCATCTAAATATGTAATTAATTTCAACCATAGTTTAACCTAAATTTTAATTTTTTTCCCCAAACATACAATCATATAACTTGGCCTAACACTTTTATTAACAATGGATGTGATTAATGTATACATATAATTTGGGATGAAATTGATATGTTCAAAATGTTTGGGAACTAATTTAGAATGAAGATCATAGTTTGGGGGATGAAACCAAAATGTTCAAAAGTTTGAGGACTAATCCAAAATAAAAGCCATAATTTAGGGATGAAATTAAAATGTTTAAAAGTTTAGGGACCAATTTGAAATGAGGGTCATAATTGAAGGGCATGTGACGCAATTAACTATTTCAAAATTAAATAATTTAACCTCAATATTTTATTGTCTATGCCTATAATTAGAGATAGATAAGGGGTGGAAGGACTACAGTAACACTAAAAATTTTAAATTTATGTATAATTTTGATACTTTATATTGATGATGTAATTTTATAGGTCCTTAAAATTTTATAATTCGTACCTTTTAAATTTTTAATATAATTTTTTAAATTTGTACGTCTCCTACAAAATCTTAAAATGGTTCATGTATATAACTTCATTAAATGAATGTAGGTAAAAGAAAGATCAAATTAAATTTTTAATATAAATTTTTAAATTTGTACGTATCCTATAAAATCTTAAACTGGTTCATGCATATATCTTCATTAAATGAATGTAGGTAAAAGAAAGATCAAATATAGATAGAATAGATGAGTGGAAAACCTTTGTTCTTTCTTCCTCGAAGAGTTTGTTGACATCGTCATAATTAGGAGGACCTCCCCATCTCCATGTGGTGTTGAGCTCACCTTCTCCATGCAAATAAGAACGATATTTGTCTTCTTCAACCCCAGACATTGTTGCCTGCATTCTGAATTAGGGGAATGAAGAAGTATATAGTAATATAAAGGTGGAAAAGTCACCTAACATTTTGATATTTTGAGTGTCACAATCATTCCAAGTCAAACATTCATTTTTACCAAATTTTTTAATAATTTTTTAGTTAGATTAATTTGAGTTTGATAGATGTATTTTTTTTATTTGGGTTAAAATTAATCAGATACAAATAATTTAATGAGTCTAGTGTGATTAAAAATGATTTGGTCTTAATTTTTAACTGGTTTGAGCTTAAATATTTATTTAATATATATAATATATTTAATATTTAATATTTTTGGTTGATTCGATTAATTCAGTTATTAATCAATTTCGAACCGGATTAACTTTTAACCTAATATTAGAAACAAAATTAATCGTTACCCGACTAAACTAATTCAATGAATGATTGAATTAACCAAACTAATTTAATTAGATCAATTGGTTCAGTTAAAACCGAGAAATAAACTAATTATTATGATTAATTGTTATTATTATTTACATATTTATTGGTTGAAAACAAATAGACATAAAATTCATAAGAAATGTGGGTGGTTCATAAATTATTCAACGACAATTACATTGGATCAATGAAAGGCGTAAGCAGTGACGTAAACAATATATATTAAATACATATTTTATATAAAAAAACAGTCATTTTCTAAAAAAAAATTAAATAAACATTATTTTGTAATCATTTTAAGTTATTTATATTTTTTTAAAAAAAATTATAAATATTAACTTAATTAATTATATTTTCTAATTTTTATTACCAATAAACTAAATCATTTATATTAACACTATAAAATATTTTTTAATGTAAAAATTATTTTAATTTTTTATATAGCCCATTAATATAATGTTTAGTTGGTATTTTTCAAAAATTACTATTTCAAATATATATATATATATATATATATATATATTATTTTCATTTTACATCTTTAATATAACCGGTGAAGAAAAAGGAAGCTTTCTAACGGTTTGGTTTTATATAGTAATATAAAGGTGGAAAAGTCACCTAACATTTTGATATTTTGAGTGTCACAATCATTCCAAGTCAAACATTCATTTTTACCAAATTTTTTAATAATTTTTTAGTTAGATTAATTTGAGTTTGATAGATATTTTTTTTATTTGGGTTAAAATTAATCAGATACAAATAATTTAATGAGTTTAGTGTGATTAAAAATGATTTGGTCTTAATTTTTAACTGGTTTGAGCTTAAATATTTATTTAATATATATAATATATTTAATATTTAATATTTTTGGTTGATTCGATTAATTCAGTTATTAATCAATTTCGAACCGGATTAACTTTTAACCTAATATTAGAAACAAAATTAATCGTTACCCGACTAAACTAATTCAATGAATGATTGAATTAACCAAACTAATTTAATTAGATCAATTGGTTCAGTTAAAACCGAGAAATAAACTAATTATTATGATTAATTGTTATTATTATTTACATATTTATTGGTTGAAAACAAATAGACATAAAATTCATAAGAAATGTGGGTGGTTCATAAATTATTCAACGACAATTACATTGGATCAATGAAAGGCGTAAGCAGTGACGTAAACAATATATATTAAATACATATTTTATATAAAAAAACAGTCATTTTCTAAAAAAAATTAAATAAACATTATTTTGTAATCATTTCAAGTTATTTATATTTTTTTAAAAAAAATTATAAATATTAACTTAATTAATTATATTTTCTAATTTTTATTACCAATAAACTAAATCATTTATATTAACACTATAAAATATTTTTTAATGTAAAAATTATTTTAATTTTTTATATAGCCCATTAATATAATGTTTAGTTGGTATTTTTCAAAAATTACTATTTCAAATATATATATATATATATATATATATATTATTTTCATTTTACATCTTTAATATAACCGGTGAAGAAAAAGGAAGCTTTCTAACGGTTTGGTTTTATAAGTTGAGGTATTGAATAATGGAATAAAAATTAAGTTGAGTTGGGTACGAACTACCTTACTCAATGGTTAAAGTAATTATTGTTGTTTTTAAAGTTTATAAGTTCGAGCACCAGCGAGCGATTGTAAGGATGATTGAGTATTCATTGTCAAATGATTGAAAGTAATTAGAACATATAGTACTTTGTAATCACTTTTAACTTAATAAAAAAAAGTTTAACTTGAGTTGGTGGCTTTACTCATGGAATAAAATGAAGCTGAGTTCTTTAATTTATTTATTTACTTTTAAAAAATTGAATATGAGAGTTGGGAGAAAATGATTTTCCAAGAATGAAAATTTTTCTATTTTTGAAATAAAAAATGAAGATTTATATCAAGAAAACAATTCTTGAAAATGCCAACTAAAAATCAAGTTAATAAGATGTAAAAAAAATTGAGTTAATTCTAACATAAAAATATTGAATAATGCTAATATAAATTATTTATAATATTAGTAATAAAAATTAAATAATACCATTTAGTTAAATTAAAGATTTATAATTAATATTAAATTTAATAATAGCTCCTTGTAATTATCTCACTATCAATTTTCCTCACATTAAACACCAAAACCTAATAGCTTATTTGAAAGCTCTTATATATAAATAATTTTAACAGTTCCAACTGAATTTTATTAATAAAAATAATAGAAGAAATCATATTACAACATATTAAATATAGATTTTTTTGTTTTAATTAAATAAAACATTATATCAAGTGTTGAAGTAGTAAACAAACTAAACTATCTGATAAATTATTTTGTTACACAATTTTAAGAAATAATATTTTACTAAAGAGATGACCGACCGGAAGTGATCAGTAATAAAATAATTAGAAAACAAATACTGTGAGTCTTTATACAATACTCACAACAACAACTATGCAAAAAGTTAAAAAAAATACTAAATATTATACCCAAAAAAAAACAAAGAAAATACATGCTATAAAAGCAAAGAATAACATATCGTAAGAATAAATTTTTTATTTAAAATAAAAAAAACTCAAAGAAAATACATGCTCTTAGAAAGAAACATTAATAAGTAGTAGTTTCTTTAGAAAATTATATTATCGAAAGAGAGGAACCATCAGAAACCAAAGATTATGCCCAGTAGCAACAAAGCATTACGGTCCGCATCATGGTTCAATCTTCTTCAAGAAGATCGCATCATCAGGTTCCTTTACTTTCCATTAATTGGGTTTAACAAACAACATTCAAATAATCTTTCTAAAATCACAACACCAATACTAAGCTCAGAAGAAAATATGGGTAGAGAAAATTATCAGCACAGATTATAATCAGCGTGGTGCATGACTTTCTCGAATTTTCTCATCACTGCCCAGATTCTTCAAACAAGAAAACTTCTTGGAAAACGAAAAAGAAAACTGCAGACTTGAACTTGGAACATATGCCATCAGGTATTCAACTGGGTCTCGCATTTTAAAAAGGGAAAAAACCCTAATCCGCATCTCGCGTTTTCTTTAGTTTTATTGTCGTTACAATTTTACCCTCCATTGCCCTTTCTGTTTCCCTTTTTCGGGCTCTGGTTTTTGGGATGGTCTCGCGGGCTCAAGGTTTTGGGAGAGAAACCATGGTTGCTTTCAAACAGCCCAATTAACTCACCCAACTCGTTAACTCTATCGAGCCCTGCCAGAAGAGTCACGACTCAATGCGTCTAAAGTTCCTCTCAAGAACTCTACCGACGTCCGTGGCAAGCTCGTTTCTTCACTGCTCTTACTTCTCAACGGTTCTTCCCCACTCGAGTTACTCGGACGGAAGCTCACAACGCGAGAGATTCAATCACCTTGTTAGGTTATGCCTGCAACAATGCAGAGAAGCCAAAACTCATTACCTGTTCGACGAAATGTCTCAGACAAGAGACCGGGCTTTGAAAGCCGGAAAAATGATACACGCACACGGTTTGCATCTCGGGTTTTGTTCAAAAGGGCTGTTGGGAAATGCAATTCTTGATTTTTATGCTAAATGCGGAGATGTGGATTCTGCTGAGAAGGCGTTTCATAGCCTTCAAAAGAGAGATGTATTCGCTTGGAACTCGGTTATTTCAATGTATTCAAAACGGGGGTTGGTAGAAGAAGTTGTCGATTGCATCGGACCTCTGCTGAATAGTGGGGTTTTGCCAAATGAGTTCACATTTGCCACTTTTTTATCTGCATGTGCCAAGTTGAAAGATGTTGACTTTGGTAGACTAGCGCATTGTTTTGTTGTTAAAATAGGCCTTGAAGCAAGTTCTTTCTGTGAAGGTGCTCTTATTGATATGTATTCTAAGTGTAATTATGTAACTGATGCTCGGAAGGTGTTTGATGGGTCAATGGATCTCGATACAATTTCGTGGACATCGATGGTGGCGGGTTATATTCAGGTTGGCTTGCTTGAGGAGGCACTAAAAGTGTTTGAAAGCATGCTGAAAGTTGGTCATGTTCCCGATCAGGTGGCTTTTGTTACCATCATAAATGCATTTGTTGGTTTAGGTAGACTTGATGATGCACGTGCCTTGTTTTCCCAGATGCCTAATCCAAATGTTGTAGCCTGGAATGTGATGATTTCAGGGCATGCCAAGAGAGGTTATGAGGTGGAGGCTATTGAGTTTTTCCAAAATATGAGGGCATCTGGTGTTAAATCCACACGCTCCACATTGGGAAGTGTGTTAAGTGTGATTGCTTGTTTAGCATCTTTAGACTTTGGCTTATTGGTTCATGGTGAGGCAATTAAGCAAGGGTTAAATTCTAACGTTTATGTCGGAAGCTCTTTAATAAGCATGTATGCTAAATGTGAGAAAATTGATGCTGCAAAGAAAGTATTTGATGAGTTGCATGAGAAAAATGTTGTCTTGTGGAATGCAATGCTCGGAGGTTATGTGCAAAATGGGTACGCCGATGAGGTCGTCGAGTTGTTTTCTCAGATGAAGGGGTCTGATTCTCACCCTGATGAGTTTACCTATACAAGTATCTTGAGTGCATGTGCTAGTTTAGGATGTCTGGAAACAGGTCTCCAATTTCATGTGTTTATTATCAAGAACAAATTTGCATCAAATTTATTTGTGGCGAATGCATTGGTTGATATGTATGCAAAATCTGGTGCTTTAGAGGAAGCAAGGAAGCAATTTGATATCATAAAAGATAGAGATAACGTTTCTTGGAATGCAATTATTGTTGGATACATGCAAGATGAGAATGAGGTTGAGGCTTTTAGAATGTTTCGAAGAATGATTTTACATGGGATTGTTCCTGACGAAGTGTCCTTGTCCGGTATACTCAGTGCTTGTGCAAATGTTCAGAGTCTTGAGCAAGGGAAGCAAGTCCATTGTCTTGCAGTCAAATCTGGTTTAGATAAGAGCCTATATGCAGGAAGTGCCCTTATTGACATGTATGCCAAATCTGGGGCCATTGGGGATGCAGACAAAATCCTCTATGATATGCCTCGACGGGGTGTGGTCTCCATGAATTCTATGATTGCTGGATATGCACCAAAAGATCTAGATAGAGCAGTTATCCTATTAAAAGAGATGCAGGACGATGGATTGAAACCATCTGAAGTAACATACACTAGCCTTTTAGATGTCTGTAATGAACCTCATAAGTTGAACATCGGAAGGCAAATCCACTGTCTTATAGTAAAGAGAGGCCTTTTGTATGATGAAGAATTCCTGGGGGTTTCTCTCCTGTGCATGTACTTGAACTCCCATAGAGATACAGATGCAGGAATTCTGTTTGAAGAGTTCAAAAACCGAGAAAGTGCCGTTGTATGGACTGCTTTAATTTCAGGTCATTCGCAAAATGACTGCAATGAGGAGGCCTTACACTTCTTCCGAGATATGCATAGCTGCAATGTATTGCCCGACCAGGCTACATTTGTTAGTGTCCTTAGAGCATGTGCTGTTTTATCTTCTTTGCAAGAAGGCAGACAGATCCATGCTCTAGTTTATAATACTGGTTATGTTTCAGACGAGTTAACATCTAGTGCCCTTGTAGATATGTATGCTAAATGCGGTGAAGTTAAATGTTCTGTGCAAGTTTTCAATGAAATGAATAGCAAGAATGGTATTAGTTGCTGGAACTCGATGATAGTCGGGTTTGCCAAAAACGGTTATGCTGAAGATGCATTGAGAATATTTTTCGAGATGAAGCAAACACACGTAATGCCTGATGACGTCACCTTCCTCGGTGTTCTTACCGCATGCAGTCATGCAGGGAAGGTATCTGAAGGTCGCCAAATTTTTGACACAATGGTTAATTATGGGATTAAGCCAAGGGTAGATCATTGCGCCTGTGTCGTTGATCTTCTTGGACGATGGGGGTTTCTTAAAGAAGCGGAGGATTTCATTGACAGTCAAAATTTTGAACCCGATGCTATGATTTGGGCTGCACTACTCGGTGCTTGTAGAATACATGTAGATGAAATTAGAGGACAGAGGGCGGCAGAGAAGCTGATTGAATTAGAACCCGATAATTCTTCTCCGTATGTACTGCTTTCTAACATATATGCTGCAACAGGAAACTGGGACGAGGTTAATGCTCTAAGGAGGAGAATGAGAGAAAAAAGAGTCCAGAAGTTCCCTGGTTGTAGCTGGATCGTCGTGGGACAGAAAACGAATTTGTTCATTGCAGGAGATAAGTCTCATCCTAAAGCTGATGAAATTGAACAGATTTTGAAGGATTTGGTTCGATCGATGAGAGAAGACGGATATGATCCAGAAGTGGATTCATTGTTGCTAGAGGAAGAGTGTGATAAAAGCATCAAATTGCAGTAGGTGAAATGGAGAAATCATAATATATATATTATGAGCTTGGATTTCTTATTAGTAAGCAAGTTTTTAAGTGTTTTACAATGCAAACAAATCCCAATTGGCCCAACCTTTCTAAACTTAGATTGAGAGTCAAGTTATTAACATCATATGAGTTCTTATGCCAAAAATAATGCCAAAGTTTCACTACAAATAGACTCCAAAATGCCACCATTTTGTGCACCTTAACATCAACTTCATAGTGTATCTATTCCTCGTATCACAATGGCATCTTCTGTTAACTTCAACTTCCCTTATTTCTCCCCTCCACCACCCTTTCCAGCCACCTCCACCACCTTACTATCCTCCCTCGCCACCACCTCTGCCACCAAACCATCCGGTTTCACCGCCTCCCCCACCACACCATCCATTTTCACCACCTCCACCTCCAAACCATCCGTTTTCACCGCCTCCACCACCCCACCATCCAATTACTCCGCCACCACCTTCCCATGTGCGTCCACCGCCAGCACCAATTACTCCACCACCGTCATCGAATAACCACACGGTTATAATCATCGTGTTTGTATCATGCGGCAAAAAAGAAATAAAGAAATTAATGATAAATTATAATAATATAATATAATATAATATAAAAACAAAAATGTTGGACAAAAATGAGTGTCTACAGTAACGTTTGTAACATTAGATATTTACATTTATCGAATAAAGTTTAGTCACTTAAACGAAAAATAAGATATAATTTGAATATTTTTTTTATTAAATTAAAAAATTAAATATATATGACATATGCATGTTCGAATATTAAACTTGACATAAATCATTAAATTTTAAAACATTAAAAATAAATCATTCATTTAAACTATTAATGTATTGTTAAAAGTAAAGTGGACTTAATTTTTTAACCACAATCAAATCACTATTGTAATTAAAAAAATTAACATTTATTACACATTTAACGATATAATAATATATTTTATAATCAATAAATAAGATGACAAGTATGTGAGTTTTTGAAATACAAAGATCATTTATAATATAATTTATAATCAATAAATAAGATGATAAGTATGTGATGTTAATTATTCAATAATTAATTACAACGAAAAAAAATAAATTTTTGATAAAAAAAAAGTTAAAATTCATTGGAGGGGTTTGTGTACTAATGTGAATTATGATCATTATCTGTATTTTTCGGTACAAGGAATCTTGTTTTGTCCTATATAGCAGAGAATTATGAAGGATAAGGGTCCTACTACTTCAATTATTTTTCAAATTTCTTCGTACTTTCTTTTTAATACTTCACTATATTGAATTTTTTCTTCAAATTTCCTCACTCTTTTTTTTATTACTTCACCATATTGAAAATTTTCAAGTACTTCTCAGCCAGTTAATTAATTAAGTAGTGGTGAAGTTTGGTGATAGAGTTTGGGGGTTAACTTAAAATTTTAAAAAATTTAGAGGTTTAAATTAATATTTTTAAATTTTTGAAGGGTTTAGTTTATATTTTTCCCACAAAAATTAGAGTCTAATTACAATTTTTTAAATTTTGAGTGGCTTAATGAGAATTTTTAAAATTTTTGGTAGGGAGTTTAATTAAGAACATTAAAAAATTAAAATTTAATTTGAATTTCTAAAATTTTATGGGGCCAAATTGAATTTTTTAAATTTTAAGGATCAAAATTATAATTTTTAGATTTTGTATGAGAAGTTAAATACACGTTGTACTCTTTTTCCCTTGATCAAATTTTTTTTATTAAACATAGTAAATTCCGTTTTATCTTTTTCAAATCGAATCAAATGACATTTCGAACACTTCAATAATATTCATTTGTTTCAATAATTGATTTGAGAAACTCTAAAATATGAAGTCAATTACTAAAAACAAAATTCCAGTTCTCTAAATTTAGTTTTGTTTTTTTTAAATTGGAAAAATATTTTTTCAAACACTTAAATCTCAAAAACTCATTTATTCGAACATTAAAATTAAAACCTCAAAAAATCAATTAAATCAAAAAAATCCTAAATTCCAAAAATTTCACACTGGGAACCCATCAAAGTAACAAAAAAAATATTTTTAAAAATATCATGTGTTAGTTTATGATTTTGTTCCATATGTCATATCAGATTTTTTGACAGAAATAATTAAACTGATTAACGTCAAAATATTTCATCCATAAAATTGAGACAAAAATAATAATTTGTATGACATTGAAGAATTCAATATATTACATATACCTAGAATGGACATGACACCTGAATTCGACGAGTTTCGATTCAATCCGATTCAATCTAAAAATATATAATTTTACCTTATATATTTAAGGATAATTACAACAATACTATTATATATATATATATTAAATTCTTATTCTTATTGAATAAAAATAATATTTTTAAATTGTTTCGGGTCGGGTTCAGATTTTATCTCAACAAGTCGATTCAGGTGGAAGATATATATTTTTCAAGTCGAATCGAGTAGAAAATGTATAATTTTTTGGTCGAGTCGGATTGATTAGAAACCCGACCTATACCCTTCCCTACATATACTCAATAAACATTTAATGCTTTAATAAATTTAATCATCCAATAAAACAAAAGCTTATGACATCATCTTATGAAGAAAAAAATAAAAATATAAAGAGTCTGCAATAGAAATCTATAACCTTAAATTCAACCACATAATGGGTTGGGAAAAAATATTCCTCAAATTATGCACCCCACCATTTATTTTCCATGGTGTTTTTCTACCGTGAATGTAGAAGATTCCATGCTTACTCCATGCTTTCCGCGAGTCGCTTTCCAAGAGTCCTCACTATTACAATATAGTTAGGGTCTAGGATTAATTACGCCTAGGTCACTCTAATTTAGGTATTTTTACATTTTAGTCACTAATTTGTTCCTTTTTTTTCATTTATTACGAATTTGATGTGATAGTTGCAATTTATTCGTTTTAGTTACTACTTTATGTATGATTTGCTTACTTTTTTATATTTTGTTACATTTCAGTCCCTACCTATTTAAATATTGATATTAAAAATTTAATACGACCTTGTGGTAACCAGCCCTGAGATATGATCCACATTATTATAGTCTGGATAAAACTCTAATATTAAACCACTGATTTACTAATTTACTAACCGCTAACTTACTAATTAGCGGTTTGAGAAAGAGGGAAATAATGTAGACAGATTGAGAAAGAGAAATCAGAATAATGTGAGAACATGGACATTGGAAGATAAGAGGAAGAGAAAGGAACGGTTTGAGGAAGAGAAAGGAACGGTTTGAGGAAGAGAAGAAGGGGAAGAGTCTTGGTTAGAGAAGAGTAAGAGAAAGGGACAATTTGAGAAAGAGAAAAGTCTCAGTTAGATAAGAGGAAGAGAAATAGACAGTTTGAAAGAGAGAAGAAGGGGAATAGCCATATAAAGAGGATCAAGTGAGATTTAGGGTTCTATTTTTTTGGAGTTTTGATCTTAAAAAATAAGTTGAGAAAGAAATTTTTTGTTTCTACATATCCAACTAAGGTTTTGGGATGAACAAAAGATGAATAATGTTTGGCTTTTGGAGTTCTCATAAAAAAAATAGGTTGGGAAAGATCTATTGTGTTTGTACAGATCAAACTAGGATTTTGGGATGAACACAAGATGAACAATGTTTGAGTTTTGGGTTTGGTCGATTGAAACATGATAGGTGAGTGATTTTTCTGTTTTTTGAGAATCATGTCATGAATACTTTTTTTTTTGATATGGCATGATTTTAGGAGCGAAAACTAAGGAAATTTAGAAATGTTTAAAAGACTTGAAATGTTAGGAGTCACCATCAACTTTTGGGATTAGGTAGGTCAAAACCTGGAAAAAAATCTTTTAAAGAATTTTAAATAAAAAACTTTAAAAAGACAACGTTGGTCTGCATATTCAGAAATTCTGGTTCCAAGAGTCGATTACGCTCGGGGAAGGATTAGCAACCCCATAGACCCCGAAATTAGTACCTTTAATTACAAATTGTCCCTAATATTGAAAATCTAATCATTCAAATATAAATTTAATTAATTATTTTCCCTAACTAAAATATTTTAACCTAATTAAAATATTTTAGGATGTACATTATTATTTATTTCCAATTAAAGAAGAAAATAACTCATTAATTTACATTAAGGCAATTATTTCTTTTTTTTAATTAAAATAATGAAATATTGTCGTTCCCTAAAAATTTAGAAAATTAAAAAAAACTAAAACCTAACAAAAAAAGTCAAGGATTAATAAACTATTCAATTTATTATTCAAAAAGATAAAGGATGTTCATTTATTTAAAATATATTTGATTTATTGCAAGGCCACCTTTTTATGAATAATCATATTGAATCCCACAACCACTACTAACAGGGCTTTTCAAGACCATTCTATGACAAGTGTTCTTAAAATTATATGATTGAAATAATTTCTAGTATATATTAACATAAAAATATTTTATAAATTTATAAATATTAAATATTTTAAAATACGTAAAATATGTACATGCTAATAGGATGGTTAAAAACATTTAATGGGTAAACATATATGGAATGTAAGATATTCACACTATAATAAATGATATGCCAAATTAAAGGGAATAATATTACTTCATCTTATTTGATATATGGTTGTTTTATCTGATTTTAATTATGAATGATTGTATCTAATTGGAAGCTTGACTCTTGATTTACTGGTTATAAATTATGTTTTTCTGATACATATTCCCTGATTAACGATTTTATTGAAAAATAAATATGTTTGATTTAGTTTCCTGGTTCTACTGGTACTATCCAAAACTGTTTTATTGGGGTGCTCTCTGGGATGTGATATGAAGTCTCTAATAGTATAGCCCTGATCAGGTTGGTAAATCCTTATGGACCTAAGGTATCCCTTAGTTTGGCTCCTACGCTTTGGTTAGGGTAAGTCCTTATGGGTTTAAGACATCCCCTTATATTGACTCCTACGCTCAATGGACTTAGGGTAAGTCCTTATGGATGCAATTCTGGAGAATTACATATTGGTATACGATTGGAGGGTAATTAAGTGATTTTAATAAAGACATCATTGTCACTTTTACACTATGTACTAAATAAATTTTGAAACTTATCCGTATGCTTTATTATGC